AACAAAGGGGCATAATCCTAACATAACAAGTAGAGCAAAGGGGCATAATCCTTACATAACAAGCAGAGCAAAGGGGCATAATCCTTACATAACAAGCAGAGCAAAGGGGCATAATCCTTACATAACAAGCAGAGCAAAGGGGCATAATTCTTACATAACAAGCAGAGCAAAGGGGCATAATTCTTACATAACAAGCAGAGAAAAGGGCATAATCCTTACATAACGAGCAGAGAAAGGGGCATAATCCTTACACAATTGGCACAGCAAAGAGACACAATCCTTCAACAATAGGCACAGCAAAGGGACATAATCCTAACACATCTGAGCAAAGGCACATAATCCTAATTCAAATATGTTGAGGTTATAGAAATTCTTAACATTAAATTCTTATCTTTTATAATTGTATTTTTTCCTTCCAAAAATGACCCCCCAACAAAGGTTTAAGTCATTTAAATCTGCAAAAAAAAAGAGAGTGCCAAACTTGCGTGAGATAAAAATAATTGATGGACTTGGTAAATTAAATATAACATGTACTATGCTAATTTAATCAATTTGAAGAAATGTTAACATCTTCATTCAACAAAGACAAAAAAAACAGAGCAATCCATCTCCCAAACAAACAGAGTGTCTGACGAGGGCAGTCCGTAATCAATCTTAGCTGAATCTCCCCTAATGTACACAGTGTATGTGGAAGTCAATTGAAATTTAAATGTGAAGTAGGAGGAAAGATCATTCACTTCACTGTTTAATGATGTCTTGATGAGGTTACCTCAGTTTTGGATTCAGAAAGGGTCAGAGAAGTCTATGGGATTTCTTCTGAAGAGTGCGTTAAAGGGAGACAATTTATTGTACACTTAACCATGTATGATTTCTATCAGATTAAATTCAGGGGAGATAATTCCTTTTTAATAAATGTAATGTATGACACTAAATGTCCAGTTACAAAGAATGTGAAATCACACAGTTTGAATGTACTGAATGTAATCAAACTGACCACTAGCCATCGACAGCTCTAACTGGTCAAAAAGGTAAATTTGAAAATAGCTGGTATAATGGTGCCTGACCCTAAATGACTCAAATGAAGCAGTATAGTACACCACATCAGCCTCTGGAATTCTCTCTGAGTTTACAGTCAGACAGGGCGACACATTGATGGATTACCTGCAAAGGTAGAAAGGCCAAAAGCCTATTGATTTTCCAGGAAAATAAATGAAGCCATATTCACCTGTCTAACAGAATAGTTGAATTCCTGCCTAATTCCTTCAGCAATCGATACTTAATATACATGTAAGACCTGGGGCTTTAAGATGGAAAAACAATGCAGGGGAAAAAATATTGAACCAAACTATTAAAGCTGTAACTCCTCAAATGTGGAAAATAAAATGTCAAGACATCAAGTTCTCAAAACTGAATCTTAATTAAAAAGAACTGTGCATGTCTACACAAGAAGAAATTCATCAAAGAATTCAAAAAAAGTTTTATACAACATAAATAAGTTTTCTAACCCCCCCCCACCCCATTCTGCCTATCCAATGTCATATATTTTAACATAGACATAAAGAACACGGGTGCAAATTCAGGTGTAGGCAATTCCATTTTAAATGACCTTGATAAAAAAAAATAAGAGTTCCCCAGAAAACTTGATCTACAAAGCACTGTTGCAAAGCACCTTTTAAACTCAAACTTAATCAGGTTAATGCTTAGGGCACTTTTTTGTCAACTGGTCAATAACCCTCCGGAAGAATATTCAAATAAAAAAGAACTTTGGCTTTAATGGCTTTTAGCACCAGTATAATGCACTTTCCAATTATTGAGTGTCCTTAAAACTTTGTGATTCATTCCTGTTTGGTCAATAAAATCAGACCAAGGTCAAACCAAAAAAAAATAAACAAACACACAAAAATTAACTTCACATGCTTAATGAGCAGCCCCAATCTTTACACTGGGTTTTCTCTTGAATGAAGTGATCCGTGACTTTTCCAATCATCCATACACTCTTAAAAACAAGACAAGGCTACTGGTTGTTTCACTGCCAGATAAACAGAGACTTAAAGTACACATTAAGGGTGCTCATGTAACACCAGTACATATTAAGGTGGCTCACCCCTTTTTGCCAAAGTCACCAATCCTAAGTTCATGTACAAATAACAACAATATTTTGTAACAGTTATGGCAATATGGTGGCACCATTATCATATGACATTAGCATACAAACAGGATAAATTTTATGTGTTTAAGTTATAACAGAACAGTGGAGCCTCATTTATCTGGATGCTTTGGTTCCTAGTCAATTTGTCCGGATATGTGAAGCATCCGAATATATGAATTACCAGTTTAACAGGACAAAATAACTGTTAAAAAATCCATTCCAATAAAAAGTGCAGCTGTGTTTGTGTTTGACGTCAATGGGCGAGGGATATTGAAATATTGGCATGGGAGTCCTCGTGTAATTTTAATCTATGTCTAGATATTTTAAAATCTAAATTTACATTTTTATTTCAGAATGAAATAGAAATATAAGGAATCACTGTCTAGTTAGTATAGTATACCAGGGACATCAACACAAGTCGGAAACATAGGATAATTTACGCATAATGGGCTTTGCCTGTTATGCAAATTATTCCATGTTTCCCACTAGCGTTGATGCCCTGGCATACTATACTAAATAAACAGTGATTCCTAAAATAACCAAGTTTTACTGTAATAAGCACTCAAACAAATGGTAGGCCTACATTATCACTGTTTTTACTGCATGTCCATAAACTTTGTAATAATTTGGCCTTTTTAACTTCTGATGCATGACATTTTCTGAGAGAGAGAGAGTTATTGGTTTTAATCTAATATACCAACATTTATGTTTCGTATAAAATCATAAATTAACTGAGATAAAAATCAGTTAAGAGGGAAAACAGATATAATATGTGGCTAACGGCTATGTATAATATAATTTGATGCAATAACAGTAATACTCATTATACAATGTATTCACAATTATTTAGTATCATAATGATAATGTAATAATGTCTTTTCTAAACAGCCAACATTTCCAAATGCCTCATCCTCATCATTCAATTTAACAAAGTGTAAACTCGATTAGGACAAAAAACAACAAAGAATACAGAACCTCTTCCTGCCAAACCTGATTTAATCAAAATTCAAAAGGTAACAATTTGTTGTTATTAGGGAACAATTTTCAGCAAATTAGGCCAAACATGCTGAAGTAAATCAAATTTTTCAAGAAAATTATTCCCAAAGACTAGTATCACATAAAATTTATAGTCATATAGGACATTATTACATTAGGAATTATATCACACTTCAAAAAATACTTATTCCTTCAGACATCTCTGTAACCTCATTGAAAGTCAATATCCTAAATCTGTTACTTGGTGCCATGAAGCCTTCTACTCTTGTACTCTGGAGTATCAACTAGTTAAGCATGAGCTTGTCACATTTCAACAAATACAAATTCCTTCACACTTCTCCACCTCAATAAAAGTCAATAACCTAATCTGTTACTCCTTCTTAGTACTTAAATAAATACTTCTACTCTTGTACTCCCAAACAAGAGGCCCATGGGCCACATCGCTCACCTAGCTGAGCACTGTGGCTATGAAAAAGTAGAAAATTGGTTTATTATTGAAAAGTTTTAATCCAAAAAAAGTCCCATGACCATTCATAGCTTTACTATTCTTGAGAAGATGATTTTTAAAGAATTTTTCTATATATTTCTATGTAAAACTTTGGCCGGCCATTGTGGCCCCGCCCTGTCATGATTTGAACAAACTTGAATCTACACTACCTGAGGATGCTTCCAAAAATATGACCAATCATGCCTTTGTATTTCTTGAGAAGAAGATTTTTCAAGAATTTTCCTATATATTTCTATGTAAAACTTTGGTCAGCCATTGTGGCCCCGCCCTACCCCGGGGGTCATGATTTGAACAAACTTGAATCTACACTATCTGAGGATGCTTCCATATAAATATGATGAATTATGGCTTTGTTATTCTTGAAAAGAAGATTTTTAAAGAATTTTTCTATATATTTCTATGTAAAAATTTGGTCGGCCATTGTGGCCCCACCCTACCCCTGGGGGTCATGATTTAAACAAACTTGATTCTACACTACCTGAGGATGCTTCCATATAAATATGACCAATCATGCCTTTGTATTTCTTGAGAAGAAGATTTTTCAAGAATTTTCCTATATATTTCTATGTAAAACTTTGGTTGGCCATTGTGGCCCTGCCCTACCCCAGGGGTCATGATTTGAACAAACTTGAATCTACACTATCTGAGGATGCTTCCATGTAAATATTACCAATCATAGCTTTGTTATTCTTGAAAAGAAGATTTTTAAAGAAATTTCCTATATATTTCTATGTAAAACTTTGGTCAGCCATTGTGGCCCCGCCCTATCCCTGGGGGTTCATGATTTGAACAAACTTGTATCTACACTACCTGAGAATGCTTCCATATAAATATGACCAATCATGGCTTTGTATTTCTTGAGAAGAAGATTTTTCAAGAATTTTCCTATATATTTCTATGTAAAAATTTGTTCGGCCATTGTGGCCCCGCCCAAAATTTGTTGAATCTACACTACCTGAGGATGATTCCACATGAGTTTCATCTTTCCTGGCCCAGTGGTTCTTGAGAATAAGATTTTTTAAAAATGCCAATAATTTTTCACTTAATTCATAATTACATGGCCCTTCATTAGAACAAACTTGAATCCCCATCACTCGAGGATGTTTGTGGCAAGTTTGGTTGAAACTGGCCCAAAAAGAAGTCGAAAATGTGAAAAGTTTACACACAGAGAGACAGAAACAGACGGACGCCGGACAAAATGTGATCAGAAAAGCTTACTTGAGCCTTCTGCTCAGGTGAGCTAAAAAGCAACTGAAAAAAAAACTCCCCATAACAAGTTAATGGACAGACTGACAGCTAGACACACAGTGAGGAAATTATAGCTTCATCGATACCTGATCTCATTACCTGATCTCCATGACAACTCTTGGACACATCCAGCAGATGTTCCATTTGTTTTCTTTGGTTTCCAGCTGTGGTCAGCTGTTTTAAAAAATATAAATAAAAATTTTTAAATTTCGCACAATTCGACTCACTAATGCACAATCATAAATTAAACACACTCTCTCAAGTGCCTTAGTTACTGTAAACCAACTTTTATACTAAGCACAGTTAATTATTGCATAAATCAGTTGTTAAACACACTCTCTCAAGTGCCTGTCGATAAAAGTTGATATATATCCCCATCTCACTACGTTGCAAGGGGATAAGTGCCTATTGATTTTACATTTTTCTATTCAAAAAAATGTTCCCTAGATATTCATCTTCTATGACCAACTTTTAATATCGAAATTTCACTAGCAATATCTGAATTTAAATAAAAACCAAGGGGGATAACTTTGGAATTCATCTACAGTATACAGTACTATAACTTGTAGAAAATATTCTGTTTTTACAAATTATATCATGACTGAGACATTTATATGGAAAGACAAATTTATCATACTGAATTATAAACATGTCAGAAGTTTAATTGTTACTTGTGAATTTCAAGGCAGACTGTCAACTGAATAATTTTGGCAGCCCTAACACATTGTAAACTTGTCATCTCTACATGATCTTAACCTTTGACTTTCCGATAATAAAACAAAAGATCAACATTGGAAAAGAATTAGTATTCTGACAGGTAAACTGTCACATACCGAAGCTAACAGTGTTAATATCACTGATTTTTTTTTATTATTTGTGTTTGAATACTCTTGTTTTACTACCATTTAAAATTTGACATAGCATTTAATCTTGAATCTAGAAAGAAATTCTCACAGCTCCTTTTAATATCTGTGTGTGTTTTGGGGAGGGAGTAATCATGGTCCTTTTCTCCTGAGAGAATCCAGAGAATCTCTAACTCAAAGTATTAAATTCTCTTGATAATTTTACATGTATTTTAACATACAAATTAAATTAAAAACATCAAATATCATTGTTAACAATGACTGAGCCAAAAACATTATGTGTTGTAATTAAGTTCAGGTCTCCAGTTTGATATCCATATTTTAATATTGTCACATTCACTGAAAAAATGTTTTAACTCTCTTTCCCTCTCTCCAACACCACAACCACCCACACCCACTGAAAAAAAATTGTCAATTCCCCCCTTTCCACCCTTAACTCCTCCTTCTTCCCATAAACAGACAGTACAGAAATCAATTTACTACAATGTAAATATTGTACAGGTCATAAATCTCCCCTCCTATAAACAATGGAGTAATGGTAGCCACGAGGGCTGCCAAATCTCTAAACACCACGGCAGCCCATCTCTCTCCCCTATTGCCACCAGATGTGTTAAAGGCTCCCGCTGAGTTACACTAACAGAGCCGGCTATTAATACCAGTCAATATCCAGCCACCTCATTCTCCCCAGCTAATTCTCTCTGATCTTAAAATCACCTCCATTATATCAGCTAAAGTACTTTCTCAAGTTCTCTGTCAGATTTCTCTCTCTCTCTCTATCATTCCCCCTCCCAGTCTCTCTTTTCTTTCTCTTTCTCTCTCTTCTTACTCTCTTGATCAAACTCTCTCATTTCCCTCTTCTAACTCTCTCTAATTCCTCCTTCCCCTCTTCTCTCTCTCTAATCAGACCCTCCCTCTCTCTCTCTCTACACTTTTACTCTCTGTCATCCCCTTTCCCTCTCCATTCTTCATGAAATTCAACAGGAAGGATCCCTCTCCTGGTGAGTCTATGTGTGTGAATTCTTGGTAAAAATTCAACAGAATGAAGGTAGATTATGGATGATCACTGAAGACGAAAATTGGGAGGGGTGAGGGGGTGGAGGAGGGATGGAAATTTGCTTGATTTGAATTAACATTCAATAGGTACAAATCTTAGGAGTCTAAATCTTAAATACCCATCTAATTTCATTGCAACTTTTCCATGCATTATATTTCTTATAAAATTTCCATTCAAAATAACTTTTCCTCCTACCCTTTTAAACTTTTTTAAAAAATTTAACTTTTATAAACTTAAATATAATATATTTTCTATCTTCAGCTGAAATAAATTGCTTTAATGACATTGCCTTGGATTTTCAATAATCTGTGACACTATAATAGTGACCTATTCACCACGTTTTTTCCTGGCTGCAATAATTTTCCTGCACTTTAGTGTTGCAGAGCGTCAGGGGCAATAGTCTATAATGGGAGAGCCGCTCACAGTGATAGTCTATTATAAATCGGAGGCCCTTATCTTCAATTTCATTTCTAAATAACATTTTATTGCCTGCAAAACGCCTGACTAAAATCGCTGTTATCAGAAATAAATGCTTCCCCAACATTCTCGAAAATTGCCACATTTTTCGGAGAGAAAATAATTAAATCAATGCTTGACTTTAAAAACATGCAAGGAGAACTCCTGGCTATGAGATAGTCACTCGATCAGGGCCATTATATAAACGTACTGTATAATTGACTAGTTATGATTACTAACTGCTTTAAAATTTTCTTTCACCATTTATAACCTCTGCAAAAAAAAATTAAATCACTGTTAATTCTACAAATATCACCTTCATGACATTCAGAAAGAAAGGCATTTTCCCCCTTTTTTGTTGAAAATTAAAATGAACAGTTATTTTCCTATAAATATTAATTTATCTATATTTAAATCAAGAAAGATTCTTTTAATTAAAAAACCTTTCTTCTGGTTTGAAAAAAATCAAGATTCAAGGTGATGAAGTTTAAATATGCATGAAAAAGCCAGATATTCTAATACGTCAGTACAAAATCTAATTGCGATTTTTTTTATTTGACAAATACAGCTGACTAAATTATTATTCTATAAAAGGCAGCAAGAACTCATTATCATCACATCTTTCATAGTAACAAGTCTGATAATATGCAGTTGTAGTGCAGTTATATTCATGGAAAGATGCAATAAAGAAGACTTATAAATGTCCTTTTTAATTCCATCCCTGAAACCAAAAAACTGTATTTCAACACAGCACTGACATTGACGGATAAAATCTTGTGCCAGAGGGTTTTTTTTTTTGTCTTAACCAGTTGCTATGGAGACATCATCCAACAAATTCTGAACAATGAATAGTTGAATGATACACAAACCCCATAACTCATCACCTGGGTAATTGGAATTGAGGGGCGATAGATATGTTGCCATAGCAACTGATTTCCGTAAATGTTCAAGAATTCTCCAAAAAATCACAAAACCAATTTTCTAAACAATTTCTTAAAACTGAAAGCTTGGAGTTCCCACTGCGCCCGGCTATAGTAAGTGCCCTAGGGGGGGACAGTTGATTCAATTACCTGATATGTTCAATGTTTTAGCCGAATTTTAACCGCCTCTTCTGCATTATCTTAATTATTCAGGAAAGATATTCTCCAGATAAAAAGTATATTATACGTAATGTTGTCCCACCTGTGTTTTGACTTCGAGAAATATACACATGAACACCTGATGAAGTAGTACAGATTTACTAAAAGGGCATGACTTAATTTCAGAACTGTTTTCTCTGAATTTCCTTTTTTCATGGCAACATGACCTTTATTGAGTTTGAATAATTCATTTCACTTAGAATCAAATCTCCACCTACAAACCAATAACCCATCACAGCAAAGTTCATAAAGACCTAAAAACCAAACACTCCAAAAGCTAGTCCCTGGTGGCCTACTAAACAAATTTGCACATAAATTCAATTTAACCCTTACCAAAAAATCAATCTCACACTACCCTCTTATTTAATTTGATGACACAATCCAAACTTATGGGCCTTTTTTGATAGATCCCCCAGTAATAATGAAAAATAAAGACTCCCTTAGCATTAGTGAAAACAAGAACCCCCTTCCCTTAATCAAATTTTCCTCTCCTCCTAAAAAATTAGTTGCTGCCTATTTGACAGTATCTCAAAACTATGAGCCTTGGGGTTCTTGAATATATTGAATATCCCTTTGTCTCATTGACATCTAAATAAAAACCTTTTTTTGGATAATGGCATTGGAAGAACAAAAAAAGCTGTGTTATAAGAGGTACACAAGTCTTAACATTGCAGAGAGTCATGTTAGCTAAAGGCTCAATGTCGGATTTCCTTTGGATTATCTTACAAATCCGGAGCAGACAGTAGCCCACTGTAGTCTCTTCTTAATCCAGCGTCCGTCCGTGAAGTCTGAAACCTTCCTCCTCCCCTAAAAAAGTCACATTCCTGGGAATCGGAGGGGAGTCATGACTTAATAAGAAGAGAGTAAACATGGAGGGCTTCTACGGAAATAAATGAGGTGTCAGACAGTGTACAAACGCTATACCTCGTCAAATCTCTCTCTGTTTTAATTAAAACGGGTATAAAAAGGTTCCCTAGGTCCTCCTGGGCTTAATAAGGGGTTGCCTCTCGGGATTTTTTCAGCCGTTATTAAATTCTTTTGTCGCAATTAGATGATGTCATTTATCTCCCCCTGTTTGTTTCCGTTGGCCGAAAACACCCTCCCAAAAGGGAAAGCGAATTTAAAATTAAATACTGTACCGAGACAAAATCTAATTAAATCTTAATAAAAGGATATATGTCTTAATCAGATTTTAACAGACCAAAGTTGCACAGGAATTTCTCACATTTTTTTCATACAAATCATCTTCTTTAAGTTATGGTAACATTTATATTTGTATATATTTTTGTTTTAATTCTCAGTATATAAAGATATGTTAATCTCAAACATTTTTTTATGTCATTCAACGTATCAAGCCTGATTTTTTTTTCTTCATTTTTTGACTAAAAATTGGTTTTCACTAGTCCTTGTGAATGAAATATTATTTAACAATACCCCTATTCATGTTTTTCCTTAAGACCCAGGGACTTTCCCTGAACCTTAAATGTGAAGTATTCCTTCGGTTATTCTGATATTCCCCCAAATGCAAGCTGATCCTGATAGGGAATCAGGAACCTGAAACCCCTTTTTAATTTCTTTAATGTCCGCTATTATATCAATTTTTTCAAGTCTTACAGTCTACGATTTAGTACATGTACCATATCTTAAAATACTACTGACCTCTGCTCTGCCTTCAGTGACAATTTACAGCTTAATTTATTTAATCTTGGAACTAAAAGTAGCAATCTGTGAACTTTTTGAAAATATATTTTGTAGACAGTGTCTGAATATTTCATTTCTTAATTAACTCTTCTGATGAGAAATACAATACAGATATATGTATCTTCTAATGACATATTGTTCTCAAGTTGCCAGACATTCCCATTCACAGGAAATTTGTCTGTCTGTCAGTTTGTCCTACACCTTCTCCAGGGATCTTACCCACCCACCCCCCTCCCCCTTGACATAATTAACAGACTAAATAGCAGAAGGGAACTATCATATATGATTGTCCTTTTCCAATTGACTTTTTCCACCTCATAAAAACCACTTCAGAGCTCCAAAAATGAAAATAAAAAAAAAACTTTTCAAACAGGTCACAAGTTTTTTTTCTCTCTCTCTATACATTGTGCCAGCAGGTCTGGATTATATAACAAACCCTAACAGATAGTGTGGAGATAAAGGCAGGGTTAATGGGAACACATTATTGATCCACACAGACTGGTAACGGAGAGCTGTATAGAATATCACAGCTCCCTTGTCCTATCTCAGTCATAAATCACCCGGACTCTTTAAAACGTTTTGATCAGCCGGAATAGAAGTCGGTCCTGTGATTGACAGCTAGCCAGCCCTGGTCCTCTAGGCTGATCTGTGTGTTTGTTTGTAATGACTTAGAGCTACACGCCTTCTTGTCGAATGTTTATATTGCACATTAACTCTCTTCCAAAAACAGTTGGGGAAAAAGTTTGTTTTTACATGTATTTTCCTACCAAGCAGTATTTAGGTACATGTATACTAAGATTTGTATTAACAGCTGTTAGTTAATATTACAAAAGTGATTCTCATACAAAAATCAACTCTTAAAATAATTGCCCTGATAGGAAATGAAATGAGGAACTATCATTTCCCTAAAGGTTTTTTATATTTTTTTTCTAAATATACCGAAAATAAAATGAAGCAGCAGGTTTGAATGCATTGAATTTCCTTGTAACTTCTCAGACCCCCCCAAAAAACTTTATCACTAAAAGTCATATACATCCATTACATAATGAACTTAAAGTTTGTAAAAAGTTAGAAATCAAAACAGGTACTTTATAATAAAATGTGCTTGAATTCTTACATGAACCTATTACATCTGCAGATAAAGTTACATATACTTGCCGACCCTTAATTTATACAAAACTCGAGATTTCACATGTAAGTTTCATCAGATAAAACCCGCTTTCAAATTCACACCAGTTTGACAGCTTTGCATTTAATTAAATGCAGATATTAAATGAAATGAAATTCAAATTTCTAATTATGAAAATTCTTTAACGTTCTTCCTTCAAGATACACCTTTACATAGAAGACTTCTTTGAGCTCTGTTAATGTATAATTCTATCATTTGAGTGTGACTCTATATCAATTATATATGCACATAATATTTAATAAATTATCATAATCTTTGCTCACTGTGTGGAACATATGCTTAAAGTTAAAAGACACAGTCGAGACATAAATGTCACATGCGATGTGTTCGCGTCTCTGATGTGACCGTTCTGGCGACAGAAGAGATTTTCAATGTTCAAAAAAGTTAAAAAGGGCCTCGTCACCATGGTTACCAACAGAGAATGTTGAAATAATTTAAAAAATTAAGAGAAATATAGTAGGAATTTATTTTTAATTTTATCATTAGCTATATGGTATACATTTCACCTATCCATATGTGTACACTTAATGATTTAGTACACCAAAATTAATATACCATAATCTACTAACATCTTAAATACGGGGATGGATGTGTCAATTTGATTTTGAAATCCCATTAACCCCTTCTTCCTTCAGTATTTTACCCTGGATATCTTAAATCTTTGGATATCTTGAAGATTATTGTCATAATCCTTAACTTTGAGATAACCAAAGAGTTTATATGGTTTTCATACATAGGAAAGCTACTTTACATGTGTATTCATTGTGACAAGACCTTTCAGACAATGGGTATAAATATTTCTGACCTTTTGACCTTGACCTCAGAATTTGACCTACTTTATAAAAATGTTTAACCTTGGCCATAACTTTTGAACACCCTGTTGAGCACTAGGGCTTTCATATGTCACAGGTTATTCCTTATGACAAGACCTTCCCTTAGATACCAACCATTTTGACCTTGACCTTAGAGTTTGACTTGCGTTTGAGAAAGTTCAAACCTCCCCACAAGCTGCCTCACAGCCCGGGCATCAGTGTTTCAAAAACACATCTTGTTTTATTTTTTCTTCCCCAATATGTCTTGATTTACCGAGTTCTTTCCCTTACCGTAGAACAGGCTGTTCGGCACTCCTCGTCCTTTACTGTGCTGCAACATTGAGGGGCTACAACAGAAAAAGTCCCATTTAAAAGTTTTATACATGTACAAAATAACTATCTACCAAATGTATCAGTCTGAAAAAATTACATTTACTAAACAAAAACACTTTAATAATCCTAACTGGAAATATTAAGTATATTGTCTTCTAATAAATGAGTACATGTAGTTTTACTGACTGACGTTGTAATATTCCATACAAGGAAATAACAAGTACACACTTATAACTTACACAACTGACCCCATTTTATTTCAAGTTCTCTAAGTAGTTACGATAAACCTTTTCATCTTATGACATATCATAAAACAGAACTATTTTTTTTTCTTAGATTGAAGCTCACATTTAGAAGATTTATACTAAACTTGGAAAAAATCTTTGTGAGATGGGAATGGGTCTTTGAGATGGGGTTGGTAGGGGGGTCTTCACTAGTTTCTTTCTGTTTGACTGGGTGGGGGGGGGGGGGGACTGGGGGGTTGGTGTTTAAGGATGAATCTTGATAAGGCTTGGGGCTTGGGGGATAGATTTTGATTTGTGTGTGGGGTGTGTGTGTGTGTGTGCGATATGGGTTTTACATGTAGGTCAGGGTTATATCTTATTAAAGGTTGGGGTCAGTGTGGATCTTGAAGAGGTTGAGTTGAGGGATCTTGACCATATTTGGGGAGGATCTTGAACAGACTGGGGTGGACTTTGACTGGATTGAGTGTATCTTGATTTCACATGAGAAGAAAATTATTATACTGAATATCAGGCGTTAATATCACAGCCATATTTATATTTTCTGAACAACCATGGAAAGGAAACCATGCAAGTCTTTTAGGACTTCATAAATATTAAAATCTGAAAAATAATCCTGCTTTCTTAAACGATCGAATAAAAAATCTTGTATTACATTGAATTATATGCAAAAATTATGAGTCAGAGAAGAATGACATCAAAACAGGCGAAATCAAAATAATGGAAAAATTATGCTAATGCATACATTTCTTATGAATTTGAATATATTAATTTTCTATACGATCCCTATTTCAATTGTTTTGATAATATTCATAAAAATGAAAAAAAAGGGTCAATTTCATCATAGGGGGATATCTAAAATTTAAATTCATAAATTATACAACAAACCCTAAGTAATATCATATTTCGGGGGTTTTCAAAAAACCAACTTTCAGGATATGTTTCACTTTTCAAAATGGTAATATGATGCAAGGAAAGTTAGTGAACACCTTGGATTCACCTTTGTTCTTTAAGTTCTTACATCAATATCTGCAGCTGGGTTAAAGCATTTTAACACACGGTTATGACGAAGTTACAGGGGACAGGTGAATTCATAGGTTTTATCGAGAAATTATTACATCTGGTTATTTTTTTTTTCATAATTTTCTAGTTCAAATTGAAAAATAAAAAAAACATGTTTTGCTGTCTAGCATGAACTATGATGAAGTCCCAATGTCCATGAATGTATTTTATTTATAAAATGTTTTACTACATGTATTAAAATACATGTTACATAATTAGCCAGTGTGGCCCAATGGCTAGAGCATCAGTGCTCTAGAATGGTAGAGTATGGAGTTGATCCTTACATCGTGGGTTCAAATCCAACTGTGGGATTTAGAAGCCGGTCCTTCGGATAAGACCGTATAAACCGAAGCCCCGTGTCACAGTAGACCCTGTGCTGGCACAATAAAGATCCCTCCCTGCTCAAATGTCCCGAGTTCTGAGTATAGGACAAAATTTACAGATCTCTATGGGTAAGTGGTGGCGTCTCCATATGAGTGAAAATTTCTCAAGAGGGACGTTAAACAATACAAAATCAATCAATCAACTGACATTTAAGTATCCAATCCAGTTTCACATGATTTTATGTGTACTATCCTTGATTCCTACTACATTTAGGTCTAACTTAATCTTAACCCATTCCACCTACATTTTATAAGTATCCTATCCAGCTTCATGTTTGTTGTAGGTATCCAGTTTATTTCCACCTTCATTTTAAGTATCCTTTCCATTTCCAAACTAATTATAATTATTTATTACCATTAAATTTCAACATGGACTTGAAAAGATATCCACACAATGGGCTGAGAGAGAGCGAGAGAGTCTTATGAGAAAGAAAGAGTGAGAGAGACAGAGAAAGAAAGCTTAGAGAAAGAGAGTAATAGAGAGAGGGGGAGAGAAAGAAAGAAAGAGAAAGGAAGAGTCTTGGAGAGAGAGAAGGTCATGAAGAGAGAGGGAGAGAAAGAAAGTCTTATATAGAGAAACAGAGTCTTAGAGAGAGATATGGTCATAATGAGAGAGGAAGAAAGAGAGTCTTAGAAAGAGAGAGGAAAGAGAGAAAGAGGAGAGAGAAAAAGAGATTAGAGAGAGAGAGAAATGAGAGAGGGAGATAGGGGAATCAAGTAAACTAAAATATTTTACTATCTTTGTCACTGAATAAAGCAGCTAAAATAATCAAGCTTTATAAATTTTTTTTTTTTCAAATGTACATAATATATAATTCATACACTTTGGATGAAAATCTCTTTTAAAAAAATTACCATCTATTTATGATAAATATGCATTTCATGTTTAATGTCTGAGTGTTTCAGGGTTTTTTTTTTTTATATCACGGTATATCATCACATTTTGACTCTGAATAATAAATTTATAGATTGCACCTTAAATAGCTGTCAGATTTGATCTATAATCATGATAATTATGAAAGAATATAATAAATCAAAACCAGATCTGCTGAGCATAGTAAGCTGGTAAATCTTGGAATCTTTAAATATGATGCACTCTATCTTATCAAATTCTAATAACTTTAAAGTTGGTACATTTGAAATTGGATGAAAAAATTACATTTTTAATGAATATCACTTGCTGCAGACAAAGAATATTGAAACCCATTCTTACGAACATAAAGCCTAATCATTATCATGATTATTAAAGTATCACATTTTAATTAAGTGACAGAAGGAAATCGTTGCAAACAAATTTTGAAGATTCAAATAAGGAACTTTACAATGACACAGTGAAGAGGAATCCAAATTATATGGTATAAATAATAATTAATTTTATATTGGTGTGTGTGGTTTTTTTTATATAAATCACACAAATTAAAATGATTTTTTTTTCTTGAGAACTTTATAAATACCCAATTAAGCTTTCAGATAAATGCAAAATAATGTTAATATTGATAATAAAATTATATGTTGAAAAATATTCATCCAAATAATTAATTTATAAAATATGATATATATAATATTTTATTGAATCCCAAAAAGTTATGTGCAAAAATGAACATGACAGAGAGAGAGAGATTTTGTATGAAGATTAATTTCGTCACCTTTTAAATCTGTATAATACTTAACAGAACTAGAAAATTAAAAAAAAAATTAACGATCTGCTTTTCTGAAGAAAAAAAAGTCGATATAATTACAAAAAGCCGTCTCCTCGCTGCATTAACTCCGATACGAGTGATTTCACCTGAATGGGGTCACGGCATAACCATTAACAAAATCGGATATATAAATCTATTAAATGACTGTAAATAACTTACATTTTATTTATATGTTTGGCCCCATTGGGGACTTAGCTTTTTTGTGTATCAAGACCGTGTTCACCGTTTTTCGACCTGCTATGGCGGTATGTACACACAAAACATGTGAAATCCAATACACACAGCGAGAGAAGAGAGGGAGAGAAAATCCTTTCATCTACAGCGCTCGTGAAGGTGAAAAACTTACCTTTGCAACTAACGTGTGATATTAGCCCTATGGAGAATAATATATACACAATCATGTCGGTAAATTCACAATATGCACTCGATATTCACGCATCTTACTCCCTTCGTATAACTATCAACACTGAACATTTTCGCGAACCGATCTTTTAGCAATGTGCTTTCCGTGTATAGCGATACAATGGCTGTTCCCTTTACCTCCCTAAGTAAATGTCATATTTTTCGACACGCTCGATGAAGCACGCGTATTTTTTTTAACTACACGGCATGGCTATACAATTTAAGGGAACTAATTATTTTCTTTCTGTTCAATATACGAAATCATGTTGATTCCATTAATTTTTAAAATATATTTTCTTCCTATGGACACAGACTACCAATTATTTTGCTATACATTCCTTTATAACATAAAAAATATTTTAAAAAATTACACCGGCTCAACTTACCTGAAACTTGGCACAGAGTAAGACCATTTCAAGTCCAAAAATTTACCAAGTTCTCAGGAACATTCATAGTCTGCAAGTCTTTTTATGGCCTGGCAAATAACCCCTACCCTGCTTTTTTCACTTTCTCTTCGAGGAAAGGGTAAATATGGGCCTCTTTACACCCTTCCTACTACGCACTTAAAAGCAAAATTTCCCATTATTATCATTTTTATAATTTTTTTCAGACCCTCTCCTTTCCATTTATGCCCAAAAATAACCCCATTCTACTTCATAAACACCCCATAGAATTTTTAAGAAAAAACCTCTATTTTTAAACTGGAACTACTTGAGTGGTCAATGAAATAGGGGTAAAATTAGTAGTCTGTAACCCTATCGTTTAATAAAACACGCCAGGTATGTCGGAGGTATTTGTTCTCGTAAAGGTAAAAGGGGTTGAATGGAGCACCAGAATTTCTCTTTTATTAACCGAGCGGGCGGTCAGTTTAATAATCCGCACCGCGATACCTGCCAACCCTTGTTTGTTAAAGTTAATGGAATTATTTAAATGTGAATGGCGGCTTAATACTGTGGACAATAAGGACATTTTACCTGTTGAAAAATCTAATGATGAGAAATTAACTTCTGAATGTCGCGCACGGTGTAATGTTACGACCTTACAGTAGTACATGTTAGCCCCTTCTACTCTTACTTTTCTTTCTATAGGCGTCGGAACTCGGAACATGGGTGGGGGGGGGGCTCCACCTTTTTTTGGCAAAGACAGACGTACTGGGACATGTTTCTTCGACGAGAATCTTTTTCTCAAGCTCTGTCCAATTCGGTCTTTTTTTTTTAATAGCGAGAGTGAAGCACGTTAGTAAATGGTCAAAGTTATATCAACAGGTACAGATAGTATAGCTGTTGCATTGAAAATCGGGGCTAACCTTTATGTTGCTGGTTTAGCACTCCCCACATTCACATCAACCTAGGCTATCCTCCTTCGGCCCCCAAAGACATCAGCCTAGGCTATCCTCCTTAATTCAGCCCCCAAAGACATCAACCTTATGCAATCTTCCTTCGGCCCCCGAAGACACCAGTCTAGGATCTTCCAATTCCCTGACAGGTCTTTAATATGTACCTGTCACTAACTCACTTCCATGACATGGTACGGCTCCAGATGTAACGGGAGAGGATATAAGTGCGGACCAGACCGGGATTGGAACCCGGCCCCCTGAATCTCCAGTCAGTTGCTCTAACCAATTAAACCATCTGTCCACCAGCGGGTGCGTATCATTACCGCTACATTTTCAAAATTTTCATTACCGCTACATACCAATTATCGCTACAAAAAACATGACGTTACCGATACATATAAAAGTATACATTACCGCTACATTGCCTATTTCGTTAGTTAGCCACTTGTGCGTGTACAGATTGATGTAAAATACAATATTTACATGCATAAGACCTGTACATGTATCCCCTGAAATACAAAATCCCACATTTACAAGCGACTCCAAAAAATGTAGAATGAGATACAACATATCCTGGACTAAGTATTATATTCAAATATTTGAAGCAGTTTATGCTTTATAACATGGCAGCAACCAAACGTTTATTTGACACAACCATATATTTTACTTATGTCATCATTGCCAAAAATTCAACAAATTTAGAATGAGGACTGTAA